TCCTCACTTCATCTTTGGAGGCTCGGGCTATTTGCTGATATTCTGACTTAGTTATGTGCCCCTCTTTCCACTTTCTATACTTGTCCTTTTTATCTTTCAATTTGTCAGAGAGTTCTTTATGCAGCCATGCTGGTTTCTTTTGAGAGCTGTTATTTTTCCTCTTCGTTGGTATTGTGCTAGACGAGGCTTTTATTATCTCATTTTTCAAAATTTCCCAAGCTTCTTGTTTTCCCCTTGAGGATTCTCATCCATGGAATCCTTCCCAAGCCCTCTCTAAGTTTATTGAAATTAGCTTTCTTGAAGTCCAAGACTCTAGTTTGACTGTGTTCTATTGCTTGTGCTTCCATAATGTTGAATTCCAATATTGCATGATCACTTCCTCCCAAGGTTCCTATGGCTTCAACACCTTCTATCATTTCATCTCTTGTCTTGTCTCCCAGTTGATCTCAGGGTAGTTAAAGTCCCCTATTACTATTGTGATGTGCTTCCTACATACCTTAGTTAACTGACTAGCAAAAAGTTCATCTATTTCCTCTGTTTGGCTGGGTGGCCTGTAGTATACACCTTTTATATTGACCCAAATGCATTCAAGACAGTTTTTATCATTGTTGTGCTCTATTTCTGTAGAGATGTAGTTATTTCTTATATAGAGAGCAACTCCACCTCCTCTTTTATTTGGTCTGTTTCTTTTAAATAATTTAAATCCCTCTAGCTGTGTGTTCCATGTGTGGGTTTCATCCTACCATGTTTCCGTAATGGCAACAATATCATATCTGCCCTCATTAACCTGAATTTCTAGTTCACCCTGTTTGCTGTTCTTACTCTGTGCATTGGTGTATAGACATTTGAGTCCTTTATTTACTTTCTACGTAACCTGTGTGGTGCCTGAGTTCCCCTATTGTCTTACCACGTAATTGGTTAGTGCACTTTGTGTGGCACTCACTATTAGAGGCTTGATTTTGCTTGACAGCAAGGTTGGTATTCTTACATGCACTGATAGCCCTATAGTGTTTAGATTACCGGGGACAGGGTTGTTTTGTATCAATTAACTCACTCCCTGCTGTTTAGTTTAAATTTTCCTCCAGAAAAATCTGTGAATTTATAGCCGAGTAACTCAGTCCCTTTCTTTTATGGATGCAAACCATCTCTTTTGTACATCTTTTCATTGGACCAGCTACAGACATTGTGACTAATATATTGAAAGCCTTCCCCTTTACACCACTCCTTTAGTCACATATTGAATTGTGCTATGCGCTGGCCTTTTCCATTTTGCTCCTTGTACACTGGTAAAACCTCTGAGAAAGTAAACCTACAGTCTATTCTGCAAAGTTCCTTCCCCAAGCTCTGGAAATTGTTCTCACAGAGAGTACATCTTTTTGGGATAGATTGTTAGTGCCAAGATGTACGATAGCCTCCACATCACAGTCCTTGCTCCCATTCTTGATTATTTTAGAAATATGCTTCTTGTCCCTACTGGCAGTAGCACCTGGAAGACACCTGACCTCTTTCAAAGCCTCTGTGTCCTTTCCTAAATTTACATCCCTTATAATTGAATCACCTACTAGAAGGTAGCTTCTCTTTTTGGATGCCTTTCTGTTCTTGCATGACTGATGTGTAATATCTGATTCACACTTCTCCCTGTCGAAATCTAGTTCTTCATCTTGGACCACAATCCCCTGCTTATTTGAGTTATCTTCACAAATACCTTTACATGTCTCCTTAATGTCCCTATTAAGGTCAGCAAGGGCACTGTAACTGTTGTGCAGGGACACAACGAAAGCTCTCACCCTGCCAGATCCCACGGTTGTCCACACTGCCCTTCTCCTGCAGGATCTTTGTGGTAGAGGGGGCTGATAGCACAGGCTTACTAGAGTAGAGGGGCTGAACTGGACACCTAATTTCTGCCTGAAGAGCAGAGATTACAGACCCTAGATAGATAATCTGTCCTTGTAGGCTAGTGATTTGTTTATAGATAAGACAGTTTCCAAGTTTGAAAAGGGTACTGCGGAAGACAGCTGCAAAGCAAGTGTTGCACTGAACTAAGGCAGACATTCTTAGATACAGGGAATCTCAGATGCACTTGCCCTGAATGTACTGCTGCTGTTTTTGATTTTTAGTTATATAATTACTGTATATAATTATATATAATATATAATTGTCCTTAATGGTTATAATATAATGTGTATGAGAGACAGAGAGAGAGATCCCCTTTTTGTAAGTTTGCTTACTCTGCAACTCCCTGCTGGCTCTCTCTCTCTCTCTCTCTCTTTCTCTCTCTCTCTCTCCCTCTCTCTCTCTCTATCACACACACACACACACACACACACACACACACCCTTCCTGTTTTCTCCTCCTCGTCCTTTTCCTCAGCTGCACCTGAATGGAATGGAAGAATGGGGAAAGCTCTCCTTTTTTGTAACACCTCAGTTTCCTCCTCCTCCTCCTCTTCCACTCCTGACTGGGCCTGACAGGATTAAGCAGGGAGGGGAGAGGTGGGCTAAAGCAAATGAGCTGCTACTGCTGCTGCACGCCACCAGCCCGGAGCGCTCTCGTTGTAGCTCGCTGTTTCCTGCACGTGCTCCAAGGCACCCTGCTGGGTTGTGGTGGGCCAGGGCTGGGGCAGCAGGGGTCGGTCCCTTGCCATTTCTGGGACAGCCCCGGGGGCCAAATCTGGGCCCTCCCCGGGCCGCATCTGGCCTGCGGGCCTTGTGTTTGACATGTCTGATTTATTAGATGAACCAAGCATGTCAGTTTCTTAAACTTTTTGATCCCTCTTTTAAAAATTATTTAGGACCCCAAAAGAGCTTTTGCTTGTATGGATTATATTTTTATATTATATAAATACATCAATTTTATTAAAAATAAAATTGATGTGTTTATAGAATGTTTATTGAATCATTAAAAATAACAATATTAAACTGTTTAGATATGACATAATATATTTTTCATGAAACCCCCCTTTTTAACAAATAAAAATAATAGAATAATAATATTAAATTTTTGCAAATATTTTCAGTATATGAAAAATAATTTTGATTCTGCAGATCTCATTGCCTTTAGAAACACTGGCTTAGAAAATTCTGAATTCTGGCACTGTTTCCCATTCTGTTTGCCTCTAAAGATTGTTTTTCACCCTGAAGCTGTCTTGCTATCCTAGAATATCAGAACACAATCAAGCCTATGTGAACACAATGAGAAAAGGCACAGCTATGTTGAAACAGTGCACATATGCATGAAAATGAGAATTGTAAACCAATTGCACAATGAGACCAGATAAAGTATTTGAAAGGGATGCTTTCCAAACTATGTTAGCATGAATGAAATATCTCCTGAAGTCTTTGGGCTGCTATGTCACTTCAAAGGCTGTCACCTGGGGATGTCTCCATATGTAGCTGCTCCTCTTTGGGGGTGATCCCTGCAGAAGTTGCCAGAAAAGCAAAGTTCAAGAGGAATTACCTTGATTCTTTTAGTTTAGCTTCCAATATCTTCAAATCCCATTTGGAAGAATTTGGGCTTTTAAAATGCTAGATGCACAAAGTCCAACAATAAGACACAGGTGCAAAAAAATAAAAAGCCGATCAGATGTTCTCCAGATGTGTAGACTCTTCAACTACTATAATTTTCAGCCAATGTAGCTGTTGTGTGTGCAGATAGATACCAAACAGGATGAAACCAACTATTGATTGCTCCCACAAGCAGTATACAGTATTGGTCTGATCCGTATATATGAAAAGAAACTGCCATCTTAGTTAGCATGCTGTGCTTCATTTGGAGACAAAACTATTTCTTATTGTTCCCGTTATGAAAATACTAGTCAGAATCCTTTGTTGATTTCTTCAAATAATCTTGTTATTCTACAATAAATCAACAGGCAGGCGCCCCCCTGATTGAAGCAACTGACGGAAACTCACAGAGCACATTATTTTGTTACATCCAATAAGTTTTTTTTAATTTATCAAAGGTATACAACTTTTCACTTATTAAAAAACAATCCCAAAGCAAGGGAAGCCATGAATTAAAACACATTTCAATAAAATAACTTTGCGGTAACCTCCGTAAAATTGCCATCGTGTAGTACATTGCTTCCCCAATTCCCACATCTTCAAAAAGACAAAACAACTAGAATTCGATCGCACAAAACTATGGAACAAAAACATCAATAACAAATAGATGGCACAATAGCAGAAATGTAGGGCTGGGCAAATTGTCCCTGAAAGCTTCCATGGCTCAGTATCAATCACAACTGAACAGGAAGTTAATTCCAAAATTAGGGCCTTGTATTAACAATAATTGTATTAGGCTCCTTCTCATAGCAAACCCCTGACACAATGGACTCTCTCAAGAGGGTGTATCCCTTGTGGAATGTAATTCTCTAGTGAGTATGAAAAAGAGAAGGTGCTCTGACAGGTTTATATTCTCTTTTGGTAATATTTAGTAGTCTTTGGAGGGGATTTGTTTCAGTTCTCCAATACAACATGGCCAAAATAGCCACAGTTTCTTTCCAACTCTGCGTTCCATCTCCATCCCAGAGATGGAGGGTATACGTTTTTCTGAGAGTACTTTTTCTTCAGAAGGACAAATAAAGTTGTACCCTAGACATTCGTGGCTAGGATAGTTCTGCCTGTCTGCTGAGGAACTGCCGTCTGTAAATTACGATTTGTAGGATTCCCTAGACTTCCTCACTTTTTTTCCTCCCAAATCACTTGTTAAGCACTCTCACACCCTGGGATGCCACTGATGGCCAAATGGGAAGTTGTTAATTTGTACTTTGGGAGCATGGAGTTCTCAGGCTGTTAATGTCCAGAGCTTCGTAGATTTACACTCTGTGCAATTGGCAGGGTAGTGAAATTTCTCAGCAGCCGTAGCATTTTATGAGACAAAGTTTCTTTTGAGGGTTTGAAATAAGCCAAGAGACGGAGGCCCCATTTTCATTTGGCATGAAAAAATAGATTGATTCTGGCTACTCTCTGTTCTCTCTCCCTCCCGTCTTTGAACTATAGAAAATATCTGTGATGGTGCACAATGGAAAAGCATAGACCGCAGCAGAACTTTCTGAATTAACTACAAGTTTCTTTTCCTCTTGATTGTTGTTAAAACCCCGGATTACATGTGCACAAAGCTTCAATCTGGCACAGTGAGTTTGCACTTTTGTTTCTGGGGCCAATTCAGCTTGCTGGTTGTAACATAAAAATAAATACCGTATATTCCGTCGTATAAGATGACTTTTGAGAGCGTTGAAACAGGCACCGAACTCGGGGGTCATCTTATATGCCGGAAATAAGGTAGTTTCTGGCGTATAAGACGTCTTTCTAGGCATGCGACTCGACGTCGATTGTCTTGCGACTCGGCGTCAAACTCGGGGGTCGTCTTATACGCTGGCTCGCCCTATACGCTGGAATATACGGTAATGGTGTGCAGTCATTATATGCAAAATATTGATACTTCTGATACAAACATTTCTGTAATGACAAGCCTGGAAGATGGGAATTTTCACATGTCTACTTCTAAAAGCCCATACTCTGGCCTTCCTTCCAGTGGTGGTATTCAGCCAGTTTGCATCAGTTCGGCAGAACTGGTAGCTAATTTTTTGTTGCCCAGGCTCAGAATGGACTTCCGGAAGCGGCATCCATACAGAGAACTGGTTGTTCACATATTTGAATTCTACCACTGCCTCCTTCCCATCCAGATTCCACAGCCTAGTTACTTTACTAGCAAATAGAAAACACATGTGAAAAAGTAAATAAATTCTCTAGCTTGGTAACAAGATTAGGGAGGTGGTCAGCCCTCCTCTTGTTAGAATCAGATTGTTATTTCAGATTACAATTAAAACCGAACATTAAGAGGAGTAAGAATGTAAAAAGAAATCTCCAATAGTTACACTGGAATATGAAATTAAAAAAAACAGAGAGTGGTGCTAAAATTGCAGACAGAGTCTTAAAGGAACCTGTCACAGAATGCCACAGAGGAGAAAGATCACAGGGCGGAATGGATCTGTGCTTAATATAGGAGGCTGTGCTGCATCAAATGTATAATAACTACATTTACATAGAGAAAATAAACATGTAATTTTTGAATGCCGGAACTGACAGTGGTGAGAGTAAACTTAGGGATGGGGGCTTGTCTGCAATTTCTCTACATTGCGTCTGTAGTTTATAATCTGCTTTTAGATCCTGTTGTATCTCAAAATCATGAAATGGGGAGGGAGGATCTTTTTGGTGGTAGCCCCCTGACTGGAACTCCTTTGTAAGGACAGCAGCTCTTTTGCCTAATTTTGGATGAGCTGTGAACCTCTTTCTGTGCCTTATTAAACAGTTTGCACAATCAAATTTTCTCAATAGCTTTGATCCTTGTTTTGTCAGGCTAACTGTGCTGTGCCAAGGAGCTTTTGCTGAAGTTTGCACCTCTTCCGAGAGGGGGCTAAATGCATTCATGGATTTAAGGCTTAATACAGTTTTATATCAGATGAGTTATGTTTGTGTCATTGCCAATATTCCCGAGTTTTCGATTCATTGCAGGAATTGGATATGGCTAGTCTAGAGAAAAGAAGGACTAGAGGTGATGTAATAGAAGTATTCCAGTATTTGAGAGGCTGTCACAAAGAGGAAGGGGTCAACTTATTCTCCAAGGCACCAGAAGGTAGGACAATGGATGGAAACTAACCAAGGAGAGAAGCAATTTGGAATTAAGGAGAAACTTCCTAACAGTGAGGACAATTAACCAGTGGAACAGCTTGCCTTCAGAAGTTGTGGGTGCTTCATCACTGGAGGTTTTTAAGAGGAGACTGGACAGCCACCTGTCTGAAATGGTACAGGGTCTCCTGCTTGAGCGGGGGTTAGGCTAGAAGACCTCCAAGGTCCCTTCCAGCTCAGTTCAGATTGACTGATTGAGTTGCTTTTCAGAGATTGAAGGCTCAGTCTCTTAACCTGCTAAATGAGATCTTTCTGAATCCAGATTTGGGGTTATTTTGGAGGGTAAGACCGAGGCATGACGTCTCCATGCCCCACTTAGTACACCTTCTGAGTAATCAGCCACTGAAGTGCCTTTGCTGAATAAATATTCTCCTGTTGAAGTACGGCTCTTGAATTTTATTTTATCTTTTTTCAGGACAGCAAGTGAGCACATGTTGGGAGGTGGCTGTCTGTCTTTAATCACAGCACCAAGCCTTTATAGGTTATTTACAGTAATGTTTTGTATCTTGAGTGAATGCTTTACTAATTATGGTAATAAAAAAGGCAATAAAAGGCACGTTCCCGGTGGAGGAATATATTTGGAGGCCTTCCCTGGTTCACTTATAAGTGGAGCTGTGATAGAAATTGCCCACCCGCTCAGCGGTGGAAGAAATCAAGCCGTTAAGAGCGAGCTGCCATGGATCAAGGTGTGACATGAGGAAGGGGGTGCTTTGATGGATTGAAAGGAAGGGAAGGGGGCAGAATTTGAACCCCTCCCTGAGTGGTGGTGATTAAGGGGGAATGGGTCAAGATATAGCTAAGCAGGGGGGGGGATTAGGAGGGTGTTTGGCCTGGTCCTTGTGCACAAAGCAGGATCTAATCTTAAGCACTGGATTTTTTTTTTTTTTTTCATTTTCGTTTTAAAAATACAGACAGTCCTCACCTTAAGATTTCAACTGGGACCAGAATTTCCACTGCTAAGTAATGTGATTGTTAAGTGAGTTGCATGCGATTTTAAATCCTTTTTTGCCACAGTTGTTAAGCATGCAGTTATTAGTGAAGTAAATCTGGCTTTTCCTGTTAAGCAAAGCCGGTTTGCAATATCTGTGGGGGTGATGTGATGGTCAATAAGTTTAAGGAACGGTTGTAAGTCACATTTTGCAGTGCCGTTATAACTCCGAATGATTGCTAAATGAATGATTGTAAGTCCAGGACTGCCTGTACAGGTAGACTTACAACAGTTCATTTAGTCACAGTTCAGAGTTACAACAGCACTGAAAAAAGTGACTTATAACCATTTTTCACACTTACAACCATTGCAGCATACCCAGGGTCATGTGATCAAAATTCAGATGCTTGGCAACTGGTTCACATTTATGACAGTTGTAGAGTCCCGGGGTCACATGATCACCTTGTGCGGCCTTCTGACAAGCAAAGTCAATGGGGGGGGGGAGTCATGTTACTAACATAACAACTGCAGTGATTCATTTAACAGCTGTGGCAAGAAAAGTCACAAAATGGGGCAAAATTCACTTAACTAATGTCTCACTTAGCAACAGAAATTTGGGGCTCAGTTGAGGTTGTAAGTCAAGGATTACCTGTAGTGACATTGGGTCTTAAACAGCTTTGCAAGCGCTGCTATTTATTATTATTTTTTTGTAGGATAGCCAAGACCAGGGGTAGGCAACCTTGGCTCTTTTATGATTTGTGGACTTCAACTCCCAGAATTCCTGAGCCAGCCATGCTAAGGGGAAAGGGAGAGGTTTCCAAGCTGAACCATGCTGGCTCAGGAATTCTGGGAGTTGAAGTTCACGAGTCATAAAAGAGCCAAGGTTACCTACCCCTGGCCAAGACCCTCAAATGGTTGGAAAGTGGCCTAGTATCACTCAGTCTCTGAGAGGTCTTAGTGAAAATGTAAGCCCAATGAAAGCAACCAATTTTTTCCTCTCAGGTAGTTGCTGCCTACATGGTGAACAGAAATTCAACTGGTGAAGGCTCGCCTGCTGTGAGAAAACATGCCTCCTGTTGAATTTTTGGATGTCAAACTACTGAAATTTTGCAGGAAAATATGTTCAATTTTGTAACTGATAATCTGTCTGGCTTTGGAAAAAAAACATTTTTTATCATAGCAAAATCATCAGTGCCCATGTTTAGCAATTCCTGGGTAACCCACATTGCTTTTGTGAATTTAGATTTTTCAATTAGGGCATAGATTAAAGTGTCTGAACCAAAATAGTTTCCATAATTACATTATGATTTTTTTCCTTTCATTTCAGCAAGCTGTGCTTCCTAAGGCTGTAAGAAAAGCTGCATTATCACTACAGGCTGGCTGTAGAAAGGCAATATTACGTGGGATATTAGAAATACTTTCGGACATTTCAGCAAAAGAATCAGTCTGGTAAGAAAGAAATAAAAGTTCACCATAAAAATTATATCTGAAGTCTGCCGTGCCTTATTCATTTTCCTTGAGAAAGTTCAAATATTTTTCAGGCCAAGATTTGCACCAGTCTGCGCTGCCATGTCTTCCATGATTAGCATGTGGGCTTGTGTGAACACAACTATCTTAGCATCCTGCTTTTTCTGAGGAGGTTTAATCAAGCTTAAGGTCCAAATGCAATATTTGCATTCAAATTATGCTGAGAAAAATGAGTTGATGTTTTGTGTGCGCAGTCTTGCTTTTTCCACACTCTTTTAGTATAAAGAATGTTTACATGTTTATTTTGGAGAAAAGGAAAATTATAGCCAGCAGATGAATTAAGCAGGAATCCACTTAGTGTTGACGTTATACATGTATAAACTAGTCCCTGTTTAAGGTATGGAGGTTGGAGAACATCAGAAATAAACAGCAAAAGTGAGAATGTGGTGTGGCTTAGGTTTACTCATGAACAGGTCTTTTTCCTTTCTTCATATCAGATTTACCTTAACATACACAGACTGGCTGCCTGCCTGCCTATTTGTCTAATGATTGATCTATGCAAGATCACAAGATATGGAGAGACCTGGCCGATAGAATCACCCAGAATTGGACAGGACTGAATGGATAACATCATCATTTACATCCATCTAACGGTCTGTCTGTCTGTTTGCCTATCTGTCTATCTATCATATTTCTGAACTGCCCATCTCCCTCAAAGAGAGAGGTATATTTATATACATACATACATCTCGGGAACTGATGCTGCTTTTCTCCTGTGCCAGGTGGAACAGCACCAATGAACTCCTGTGAGGCTCCCATGAACTTTCTGGAAGAAGGTGGATTGGCTGAACAGTTTCTTCACATTGAGCGAGAGCAGATAGTCCGCCTGAATGCTCTCAGCTTTCTTGATCCTGTCCACTATGTTTACAACCCTTTGGATTATGCCTGGGAGCCCCATCAGGACTATGTACGTAAATATTGCCATTCCCAGAAGGAGGTGCTCTTTCTCGGGATGAATCCCGGGCCTTTTGGCATGGCTCAGACTGGGGTAAGCAAACAACCAAGTCTGGGGCTGGGAAGATAAGGGTTACAAAAATAGAACTGAATATGCAGCAAAAGATGGATTAGGATTGTGCATGTATACCGAATGCCCCTGTATATGCCTTCAGCTCAGATGGAGCTCAGATTCAGCTAATCTACCCTAATCTGCCTCTTCTTAAAGAAAACTCCTTAAGAAAAAAAGATTATTGCCTTCAAAGGGGTCTCTTTCATTGTCCAGTTCTTGCACAATAATTTTTAGTCTATTCCCCCCCCCTTGCAGTTTGAATTGATTGATTTGATTTTTTACAAATTTATTTCTACTGGAAATAAATTTGCTCCACTTTCTTCAGGATAGCTATTTAAATAGTTGAAAATGGCAGTGGGAACCTTTAAAATTTCCTTCTTTAAGATACTAAAGGTAGCCAACTCTTTCAACTTTTCCTTAAAATCTTTTTACCTATCTTTGTTTTCTCAATTTCTAATGGAAATGTAATTTGTAATGTATCTGTGTAAAGCACAGGTAGTTTATTGGAATGAGCAGAAGGAAGGGCCAACAAGGAAGAAGTAGAGGTTAAAAAGAAACTTGCTGGGATCCTTCTTTACAGTAATCTTTTCTTCCTTGAAGTTGGGACTGATATTAATTGTAGTCCAACTCTTGGGATCTACCATTCTCTTTGAGTGCTAATCAAATAAACTCAGATGAGAAAGAATTATATGCATACTGAGTTAGTACTGTGTTCCTCTCTGTGTCTAGCACAGAGGTGCAATAGGCTAGTACCTTTTGTAGTCCTTTTTGCATGGCTGTACTAGCAGGAGCAAGTCGATGAACGTGAATGGGTGAGAGAGTCAAGTATGGCTCTACTTTTCTCCCATTCACAATAGTCTCAGCCCTACTTTGTTCATTCTTATAGGAAATACTCCAAGTAGGTGTATATAGTATGTAGTAACATAAAAAGTTTAGACCCTCTCTCACAGATTACTGAGTCCTGAAAAGTATCTTTATTGTAGTGAGGTTATTGTAGTAAAACATCTCATACAGAAGATATTTTGCTATATATTTTTTTCTGCAGAAGGTCTGTACCTGTCCATATTTCTGGCTAAGTGGGTTTTTCTTGTCTCCCCAATTTACTATATGTGACATGTATCTGCATTTATTGTCTCCTCCCACTGGTTAGCACCTAGACAGATAATTCAGTTTCTGCTTTGATGCTATGCCAGGAAAGGAAATGGGTAGAGAGTTGATAAGTATGGCAGAGTGCTTGTTGAGATACTGTGATTTAAACATGTGTGAGTGTACGTGTAAATTGACTGATTGTTCTCTGAATGTCAGAAGCATTTAGCGCCAAAGAAATGCCTTCTGATTTTCTTTACAAAGCAGTTTTAAGTACAATTGTAAATTTACCCCTTATTCTATGGTTACAATGTAATTCTCTTCTTTTTATAATCTACTCTATCTAATCATCAAAACCATAAAACCTTAAGTTTGCCCTAAGTCAAGGGTAGGCAACCTTGGCTCTTCTATGACTCGTGGACTTCAACTCCCAGAATTCCTGAGCCAGCACTGACTCAGGAATTTTGGGAGTTGAAGTCCACGAGTCATAAAAGAGCCAAGGTTGCCTACCCCTGCCCTAAGTCCATAAGGGGTTTTCAGTCAGCAATAAACATAGATACTGTCTTTTCCTTGAATGAAGAAGTCATTTTAGCCATCTCAGCAAGTTTCGTCATCTTCACCTCCATTGTGGGTGATGCCAAATCATCCCATCTGTGTGCGCATAATAATCTCACTGCAGTTGTCCTATACAAAAACAAAGTTCTATGACTTTTTTCTGTCAAACACTCCCTCCCCCCAAAAAACCCCTTCTGGTCTCAATGTTATATTAATCTTTAAATTCCTCTGAATCAGAGTGTGTATTTGAATCCAAGTTTTTCCAGTTATTTTTACACCTCCACCGAATAGGATAAAATGCCCCTTCTTGGTGTTCACATTTCCAATAGAAACATGAAGTGCCTTTCCACATTCTGGAAAAATTCTCTCATGATGTATATTAGTAGTAAATCATTTTATAAACATTCTCTTTAAGATTGTAAATTTCAGTCCTTTCAACCACTTTTTTCCCACTTCAGCTATACTGTATATTATAACCAACATTTTAGTCCATACATTTTTCCACTTGCTCTTCTGTTTCAAATTTCAATAAAATATGTTTAGCAATTGCATGTTCATCATTTGTACACAATTCTATTTCAAATTCAGTCTTACAATGTTCAAAACCATAAATTCTTTGGTCCACTTTAAATTTTTCTAACAACTGTAGATAGGTCACAGGGGTAGGCAACCTTGGCTCTTTTATGACTTGTGGACCTCAACTCCCAGAATTCCTGAGCCAGCATGGCTAGATAGGAAAACCATTAGCAACTAGATCCCTCTGCTACCAATTCTTCTCTTGATTTTATTTTATACCCCCCATTGAAAAAATTCTAGTAACTCACAGTAAGTTGGCCATTCATGTTTGCCTATTATATTTTTCATATAAAATGTGTCTTGTGATGAGAGCCACAAAAGTGTTTTCCCTGAGTTTGTATCTATCCCATATTCTCAGTATAGCATATCTAATGTAAGGATTTTTAAAATCCACGTTAACCTTGACTTTGTCATACGACAAGTATCCGTGCCACTCAAATTTCAGGTCATGTCCTTCTATTTCTCAATAGCACCCACTCTTTCATCCAAACCAAACAGCAAGCTGCAAGATACAGTTTCAAGTCAAGTAGGCCCAATCTTCCTCTTTCCTTTACATCTTCTAACACCTTATATTTAACTTGTGGGGTTTTTTTGTCCTGCCACACAAGTTTAGATATATCCTTCTGCCACTGTTTAAATGGTACATTGGTTTTCAAAACAGATATTTTCTGAAACAAGAATACCATTCTAGTTAAGACATTTATTTTTACCACAGAAATTCTCCCCAGCAATGGCAGTTGTAGTTTTTGTGGTGTTAACCTGTCTTTTTAAACTTAATTCCATAATGTAGTTGTTTTGAAACAACGCAGTTCGATCTGTCATGATGATAATCCAGATATTTTACATTCTTCTCGGTTTTAAAACCTGCTTTATTCATTAGTTCTGTTTGATTTTCCATTTTATTATTTTTGTTAACGTGTTTGTCTTGTAATCTTGAAACTTGCTAAAGCATACAATTATTTGAATTTGCCCATTAATGTTTTATTTCCCTTTAAAGGATCTTCCAAAACAAACATAAACTCATCTGCAAAATTTAACTTATAAGCTTTTTTTAAAACTTTACTCCCACAGTCCTCTCATCTTGTTTTATAACTCTTCAGTATTTCAAGAACCAAAATAAAGGAGAGAGGAGACAGTGGGCATCCCTGTCATGTTCCTTTTTTATGATTTGTGCTTTCCATGAAGTGTAAATTGATTTTACCCATTTTACCCTCTCCAAAATCCTTATCTTGCAAATTTTGAACAAGAAAGCCCAATTCAAAATGTCCAAGGCCTTCTCTGCATGCATGAAGATCAACGTAGCTTGTTTTTCATTATGTTGCTCCAAATATTCCAAAATGTTCAGCACATTTCTAAGATTGCCCTTTAACTAACTTTTTAGGTAAGAAGCCACACTTGATCCACAAGCATAAATTCTTGCAAAAGTATTTTCAGTCTATAAGCTAGAATCACAACTTGCTATCATTATTCAATAACAATAATCTATCATTTCTTGTTAAAATCAGATCTTGTCCCTCTTTAAGCATTAGTGCTATACTGGCGTCTTTTCAACTCTTTAGCATGGTTTGTCCCTGTAAGATTATGTCATTGCCTTTTATAAAACTTGTAAAAGTTAATCCTCAGAACATTTATAATAAGAGCCTGATAATGCATCTGGTCCTTCCACCTTGGTTTAATATTTCTTATAGCTTCAGAAACTTTCCTTATAATTATAGGTCCATTCACGATCTGTCTCTATTTCTCTGTAACCCTCAATAAATTTTATTTCTTTAAATATTCATCTATTTTTTTCCAAAGAAATGTTATTTCTTTTATACAAGTTGAAATAATATTGTTGAAATAATATTGATGAAATATTTTTGTTTAGCATTTATATTAATGGGATATCCATTAATAGGGTATCTCTCTCTTATAATTTCAATATTAGTTTCTCCTTTCCTTTCCTTTCCTCCTTTCTTTTCCTTTCTGTAATTTATATGCCAATCCTTTCCCTGATTTATTTGCAAACTCAACTTTTTTTCCTTTACACAATTCATTTTTATTTCCATTTCTCTTACAATACTGTTAACATTTCTTTTCTGTTAACTTCTTCGTATCTTTTTTCTTTCTTTTCTATTTTCTTTTTCTCTTTTCTTGCACTTTTAACTTTCTCTTCAATTTCTTTTCCTTTTTTCCCTTTCTTTATATTAGTTTTATCTTCATTTTAAATATATATATATAAGCATTTAGCCCCCAAAGTGTAGTCTATACAATGCAGCTAAAAACCAATGGGAGATTCACAAACCCACCTTTTCAGTGTTCATGAAATTTGCATCCAGTGTTGTATAGGAGCATAGGAATTATTGCTAATTCTGTTTTTAGGTTATTCTTAAATAACCTAATTTCAAATAGTTGTCTTTTTTTCATCTTTTGCAGAAACCAAACAGACCTTGGCTTTGCTATTCTTTTCCATAAACCCCCTCATTTTTAAAAGGAGACAGATAGGTATCTTTGCTACAAGTGGAAAATACATTATTTTCTAGCCAAACCTTTTCTCAAATGCAAATTTCTGGATCAAGTAACATCTGAATTTCAAATCAAATCAAATTCTTCATTACAGATCAATGATCCAGACTAAATAAAACTTACTAAATAAAATCTACAGATTAGAGCTACAAGGTGGAACAAAAAAAAAAGCTACAGGGTAAAGGATTTATATTCATATTTGCACTATTTTGCCATCAGCAATATACGAATGTTACAAGCTAAGAAAACAAACTGTGCAACAGCAAGAGTTACCTTGGGGTCCTTGCTTATTACTAAGAATTGCATCTGAAATTCTTCAGTCTGTTCCAAAAATAGAATTACAAGAGGTGTTAGGATCTCTTTGCGTGTGTATCAGTTGAAATTACAATCTAAAAGAAGTTCCTGTTTCAAATCAAGCCATCATTACAGTGGCAAAGCCTTCCCACATATGGAATTTAATATCTGATTTTGTGATTCTAATTTCTCAGAGGTGCTATGAACTCACGTTAGCTCTTGTTATCAGAACTTAGGTGCTCATAGTTCAACACCCCAAAACCCTGCATATGTGCTTTGTGCATTCAGTTTAAAGACACACACTCAATCTATGCAGATAAGCATATTTTGTATCACTGGGGACTGACTCATCTACCAATTTAGATTTCTTTCAGCTACAGTTTTATTTTCCAAACATCCATTTGTCTTGTTCTAATTCAACATCAGTTTGTAATCTTGTCTTTTAAGAAGTCCTCTCCAAATTCCTTACTTGGTTTTAGGATTATTTACTGAAGCATATATTTTCAGACGAATTGTGCAATGTTTTCTTCCCCTAGTATAATATTTGCAATAAAACCCTTTTGTATGCACTGCATTGTTTCTACAGGGTCTACCTTTTTATTGGTAGGGAAGTAAAATTCACAGAAGAGCTGATACTTCCAGATAACCTTTCGAGGTTTGCTTAGTTAAGAAAGTATGTTAGATGAGTTCACAATAAAATGTGAACTAAACATATTTGTTTCCTGTATCTAGATCCATTTAGTACTGGGATTCCCACCTTGACACTCCTTTACGCCAGTGTATCTGAGAGAATTCTTACTCCAAAAATATTTAAATATAATTTTTTTAAAAAAAATATATATTTTTTTCCTCTTACTTTAAATGTGTCCTTTTGGAAGGCTATCATGAGAAATCCCCGTAGTTTTCTTGTCAAGGTTTTTCAGAAGTGGTTTGCCCTTGCCTCCTTCACTGTCTCCCAGTTTCTAACCTGATGCCTTAACCACTACACCAGACTGGCTCTCTAGTTTAAAGACTACCTTCTTTTTAATTTAAAAAAAAAAAAAGAATTTAGCATTCTGTAAGAGAAAACACAATCCAGAATGCTTTCTAAGAATGCCTGTGGTTTTCACATAGACTCCGTAGCAGTTGGACTGTTTTAAACGCACATCATCTAACCTTTGCACAAAGACTGGGAGTAAGTGAGGAGTTCATAGACAAAGTCTGTGGAGAAGGTAAGTTGGAGCAAGAATAGCAGTGAGCAGTTCCGTCCATTTGCCATTTAGCAAATCAGATGCCATAGCAGTTATTTTATGAATGATAAATTCCTCACAGGAGACATTTTCTTTGATTATCTTAAAAGTCTGAAATGAGTTCAACTGCCCCCCCTCCAAAGGATGGCACCCTGATCTAGTTCAACACTGCAGGCTGATTGGCCGCTGTTTCCAGGGGTTCAGACAGGGAAGAGTCCCAGCCTTGCTTGTAGCCGCCAATGATAAAACCTTAAGGCCTTCCTTAGAATTCCCACATTGTTTAGGGGAAGTCATGACAGCTAAATTGGTTTGAGTCCAATATAAATGCTGGAGCATAGATATTCCTTGGCTAGCATCCTAGTACATGTCATCTTTAATTATATGTGAGAAAGGTTATGGAGATGAAGGGTCTTGTATTACAGGAACCTCTGGAGGCTCCGTGCATTGTAGGCATAGAAACACCCTATATCTCCTCTCCATATGCTCCTATTTTGGTTTTAATGATCATTTAGAAAAGTATACAGCTCACTTTCAACAACAGCGTTCTCCATGTAGTCTGCAAACCTAAAACAGAAATAGTGCCGCGAAACAGCAAAAACAAACCTCACAATAACAGAGGAAATTTAAGCCAAAAGGGAACAAGACTGTAAAGGCCTGGGAGAACTTTGGCAAATGCTGAAAGGTTAATGGTAGACATTAAATGGGGTTTCCTGGAAGAGGACTTTGAAAGGTGGGGCACTCCACTGAAAAATGGCTCTTATTCCAGTCCCCACCAGGCTCCCTGTGGATGATGAGGGCCCTGAGAGAAGAGCTTCAGTGAAACCATTATCCCCGGATCAAAGTCAGAGGGAGCAGCAACATTAATGTACAACCACATCAATAACACATTAAGCCTATTGTCTCCATGCTAATTGAGACCTGGGAGTTCTCTTGAGACATAATAATAGTTGGGGGCTCAGAGAGGTGCACTTGGAACCATTTGCTAATGCTTCAGAGAGGCATGGAAAGGGCATCTCTCAACTTCGCCTAGGATTCCTGTCTTTCTATTGTTATTTATTTATTATTTTATTATAACTGCTGTTCTGAACCTTTCTTTTTTTAAAAAAGAAAAATAGTGAACATTGTCCGAAACCGGTTGCAACAAAAGTGCAAAGTGAAAAAAAAACAAAACACTTTGCTATAGAACTGAGATCCTCGGTGGGTATATCTGTTCTTTGCAACATCAGACATGTCCACTAAGAGCTTGGATGAATTGAGTCCCCCCCCCCAAAAAGCTTCCATTTAGTTTAGCAAGCACCACTCTGGAGCCTTAATTAGCTCTGTGGAATCTGAGCTGCTTAGCCAAACACAGCCGTTGGCCGGACCTCAGCTATTTCATTGTTTCCAACAAACCTCTATAGCTAGTTGTCCAAAGGTGCTTTTTCAGGAGGCAACTGCACTTTCTCTTTTTTCCTTTGAAGACGTTTCGCTTGTCATCCAAGAAGCTTCTTCAGCTTCTTCAGTGGAAGAAGCTTCTTGGATGAGAAGTGAAACGTCTTCAAAGAGAAAAAAGGAAGTCCAGTTGCCTCCTGAAAAAGCACCTTTGGGACAACCACGACTTCCACAGAGAATTTGAGAACCTCCATAGACCTCTATAGCTGGTGTTTTTCAAACTGCTCTAGAGTGAGATAGGAGAGTCCACTAGGCATTGTCCATTTTTCAGTCCGTTCTGGGCCATCTTTACAGACCCAAACTGAGAAATGTAAATGCGAGAACAATATGCTGACGTTCACAGGATGTATAGGTCTTTTTACTTAGATACGATGATGCTGACTACCCAAGCTGGTGAACTCCAAGTGTGTTAGGACAGCAGCTGTTGAAATACCTGGACAGCACACATAAATGTTCTTGAGATGTTTAAATGGGAAACAACAACCAAAAGTGTTGAATAAAGAAAAATAGAATATTGTGTGAGATGTTGAGAAATGATAGTCCAACGTGTTTTGCATGTTAAAGCTGAGCTACAATATTAAGCTACACTGTATTTGGTGAGATCACAACTGTTTTTGAAGCATGGGGTAGATAAAGTGCATTCCTCAGTAGTCCTCTGACTTGGAGCTTCAAGCTCCATTTCTTTCCTTCCTTCCTTCCTTCCTTCCTTCCTTCCTTCCTTCCTTCCTTCCTTCCTTCCTTCCTTCCTTCCTTCCTTCCTTCCTTCCTTTTCCTCACATTTTTCCATTTTCTTTCCATTGTGAATTTCAAAGCAACCCCTAGGGAGTTCTCATCTGCACTGGGCTGTATTGAGACCTTCTTGGCATGTGAGTTGCCTGAACTGTTTTCTGAAAGGATACTAAGGAGCTAAGCAAGAGGGAATAGAGTGGCACCCTGATGGAGGAATCTCTCCCTATTGAAGGGTGGAATATTTTGAGAGGAAAATATGTTTCCAATGTGTTTTTTCCCCTCTCCACTTTCAGGAGGATGATTTTTTTCCAACTTGGGGGTTAAATGTCCACTGCAAATGTCGTGAAGCAAATTCAGACCTCACCTCATGCCCACACCAAGAAACCTTTCTCATAACAGCATCTCTTTCTCCTCCAGGTGCCCTTTGGAGCAGTGCAGCTTGTTCGAGACTGGCTGCAGATAAGCGGACAGGTGTCTCGGCCAGCGTGCGAACACCCAAAGAGGCCCATCCGTGGCTTGGAGTGCCCCCATATGGAGGTGAGCGGAGCCCGCTTCTGGGGCTTCTTCCGCTCTGTGTGCACCAAGCCTGAAAAGTTCTTCCAACGCTGCTTTGTACACAACCATTGCCCGCTGCTCTTTATCAATCAAAGCGGGCGCAATCTGACACCGGCTGACCTGCCGGCTGCTCAGCGTGAACAGCTTCTTCAGATATGTGATGATGCCCTGTGTGAAGCTGTGAAATTATTGGGTGTTGCAACAGTCATTGGGATTGGACGCTTTGCTGAACAGCGTGCCCGCAAGGCTCTGTCAGCCGCTGGTATTCCGGTATGCGTGGAGGGGGTGATGCATCCGTCCCCTCGCAATCCCAAAGCGAACAAAGGCTGGGATGCCATCATCCGAGCAAAACTGGAAGAGCTAGGCTTGATGGCTCTCATCGCGGACTAACTGAGAATTCCATGTTCAAGAAAGCAAAGAGCTCTTGCTTGGGTTCTCATGACTTCTGGATAATGGATCGGAAGCATTAATTCTTCTACTGGGCTCGTTGATTTGGCTTAAGAATCTTCTAGCCTTAGATCTACATATTTTTTACGCTTTTACTTTCACTACTCTTATATACATACATACATACATACATACACACACATACACATATTTTCCTTGGTGCTAACACTTGTTTAGGCAGCTGTATTCAGCTGGCTATCTGTGTCTTCGTATACTTCACAGTAGCTATTCATGTTGCAGTTTTGTGCAACAATATTCCAGTTGAGATTTTGCCTAGATCTTTGCCCTTTTGGAATGGCATGGCTCCTTAACACTACTTATGCTGATGGGCTACCAATTGAGTTAGCCCAGTATTGTCTATTCCACTTACATCTCTTTAAAGCCTAGATATGCTCAGTTTTTTTATATACAGAGCAGAAGCTCTGACCCAGAGCCAAAGTGTGCCTCATGGCAACTGTGAGAACTACCTTCTCCTCATTGCTTTTAATGCTGCTGTAATTCACCGTTGCATATCAGAGGAAGAACTAAGTGGGTTCTAGAACACTAGGAAAGTTCTAATTAGAAGTAGGAGGAATAAGAACTGTGATTCTGTATGTTTCTGCATTACTGTATCCTTTGACATGAGCAGTTCACATCTGGTTCCTTTCTATCTTTTGATCTGTGGATTTTTGGGAAAGGAACAAAGAAAAGGAAAGGGTAAGGAAAGAATGCTCCCCTCCTTCTCTTCAGTTCTTGGTTTTGTTTTGTTTTTAATTAAAAATTGCAACTAGCTACTCTTAGCCAACTGCTGAGTAAGAAGCAGCAGCGTTTCTGAAAATATCTATTCAGGAAGTGGAAGGAACAATGCAGGTGTATTCCATGTAGACCAAGTTATCTTGCAGTCTTCTCAACTGCCTGCAATACGATGTGTATGGGGGAAACTAATTGTAGAAACACTCCTTTACTGTTGCTGTATGAAGTAGGCTTGGATTAAACACTGTCTGAACATGGGAGTTTTGGTGCTTTCTGAGTTTTCTTGCAGACAGTTCATTACCAATTATTCAACTAGGTAACATTATCAGTGCACTGATGATGTTACCTGGTAGGGTAATTGGGTAATGAAATGTTTACAAAAAATAAATCCAACCAAGCTCAGAAAGTACCAAGGATATCACAGTTCAACCGTAAGCTACAAATATTCTCTTCTATCCATACTGCCTCAATGTGGCTACTCTGCTTTTGCGTGTAGCCCCATCACTAAAGCCCAACAAAATGGATATGTTGAGCATGTGAATGGAATTTGATCATTACGGAGTTGAACTTGGTTCAGAAGCAAGCCAACTCTGCCACTCAACCTACATTTCTTGTGCTATTCTGTGTAAGTTACATATTTCCTTATATCAAGCTTGACTTCTAGTTTTCTTTGTAATAACGCACAAGCAGTTTTTCTTTGTTTTCTTCCAGGATTAAAAAAAAAAAAAATCCTAGTCTGACATCCTTCGATTTTCATGTCACCTCTTAGCCAGCTACTAATCTTAGTTCATTTCTATTTAGGTTTATTTGGTTCTTTCTCAATTAGCAATTTCACTAGGTATTGCTATCTGCCGTGACTTTAGGTGTTTATTATTTAAAAGCTGGGCATATCCGCAATACAACAATCCATCTGTGGCTTTGAGGAGCCATATAAATAGATAAGAATGCATTATTTTAGGCCAGTCTGGAATATTTAAAATAATGGTGTATTATTTATTTTTTTAAAGAAAATTTTATTGATTTTCTAGTTTTACATTTAAATATTTGAAAAGCAATATGGTGGCTGAATTGATCAATAATTCAATAACAAACAAATATCTTTAGTACAGGTCTCAAACTATTACATTAAATATTTCCTCTCTTTTCCCCTTGGTATTTACTGTCTCATATTTTAAACTAATACAATTCTTATTATATCGATTAAATAAAAATAACTTTCTTACGTTTATCAATAATTTTTAGTTTATACATATCTTAGTTATTTTAACATTCAGTCTTTTAGACAATCAATGTCCTAGTTAGTTTTTCCCAATTTTAGTTTCCCATTAATATTTAAATTTAACATTTATAATTTCCAAGTTTTAAATAGCCCCAATTCCCTTTATCACAATTCATCACAAGATCTAATGTTCAGGATACATGTCTTATCTATTTGAATTCTCACCATCTTACATCAACTAATTAATAATACAATATAACATTCTTATTTTCTGGTAATTTCCAAATATCTTAAATTTAGTAATCAAAATTTCTCTTATTTCAACATTTAATACTTCCTCTCTTTTTAATATCTACTATCTCATATTTAAGCTAGTAATTGGTGCATTATTTTTGAGCCCTTTTCCTTTAGTAGCCTCCAAGTCAAAAATACGATGATAGTGCTATCACATAGCCAATAGAATGGATTACAGTACTAGTGATTTTGCTGATTTGAGAAGTGAGTGGTAGGGCATATGTATTGTGAATGAAAGGATCCTGATATCATTTGGGGCAGGTCCAGGGAGATGATGTTAGCCAGGCTAGATGCACTAGCAGCAGGGCCGCCCACTCAAAATCTGGATCACATTTAAAGTAAAGAAGGTATTCTTAATCAAGAAAAGAACACTCGTGGGATGAAATAACATCTCACCCTTGCCTCAAATGAACAGAAAAATAGATAGTCCTTGACTTACAACCACAACCAAGTGAGATGGTTGTTAAGCGAGTCTTGCCCCATTTTACAACCTTTCTTGCCATGGTTGTTAAGTGAATCACTGCAGCTATGAAATTAGGTACCCGGTTAAGCGAATCTGGCTTCCCCATTGACTTTGCTTGTCAGAAGATTGTGAAAGGGGATCACTGTTATAAATATGAACCAGTTGCAAAGCAACTGAATGTTGATCATGTGAACATGCTGCAATGGTCCTAAGTGTGTAAAACAGTCATTAGTCACTTTTTTCAGTACTGTTGTAATTTCAAATGGTCACTAAATGAACTGTTGTAAGTTGAGGTGTATCTGTACTTACAGTGAACTCAGTTGGACAAAAATGATTGGAGAAGCTATGGAACCCTTGCTTCCTTTACCCAAGCAGTTATTACCCTCTGTATAAAAAAATCTTGTGCCATATCAGAAGGGCAACCTAGGTTTAAATAAAGATCTGCTGTTACTGTATTTATTTGACCTTAGGAAAGAAGAAGACATTGCTTTTACTGAGATATTGCCAATGGCTTCCAAATGTACTAAATTAATAGAGTAGTATTTAGTGGTCTGTTTGAAGATATACTTCCTTTTCAGTTGAAACTACTGAATTCCATCTGCATTTATTTTAGCTTTTGCATTTGTTCTCTCCTACCTGTCCTCCTTCAGATCCGGCTGAATACTGATTCAATAACCTTTATTTAGCATTGGCCAACAAGATTTGGGAAAGGCCACTGTTTCCCTATCTTTCTTCTAACTAACAGTAATACTGATTCTAAACACTGCATTGCACACAGATTTGAGGTCTTCCCATTTGTATCTGTAGCTAATCAATATGGCTTCTCTACTAGGAATAACAATCGTAACTTAAGAATCTTAAGAGTTAAGATGCTTAATAACTTAAGCATCTGGATCTTCTGTAGAACTGCTGGGGTTTTTTTCATGCTATTTTCAGTCCAGATTACTTTTGGCACATTCCTACGATGGAGAATATTAGCGGGTTACTGTGGGGAGGAATAATCTGCATTATTATTGTGAATTATGCATTGCTATGATGAAAAATGTCAAATAAGATGCTACTTTGGAACCCTGAATGGTATTTGCTTCTCTTAACTATTAGTAGGTAGTGATTACCTACTCAAAAAGAAAAATTATACTCATTTACTGTTTACTGGAATGTATTATGGTTAATTAATAATGCACCCATTTTATTTCTAACATTGATGTAACCAGCTAAGAGTCTTATTTTGGGGGGCAGGAGGAGTGATTGACAGCTGATAAAATGCAGCTGTCTCCATTGTGGAACAGAAGCCATTCAGGCCCGGATCTGCTGCGGTGCAGAGGAGATGGCTACCAGTGTTGTTACAGCACTGACACTTGAGGACAGGTTTTTCCATTGGGGTGAAAATCCTACTTCACCCCAACTTGTCCCTTGGTCTTCCTCCACTGCCCAGAACTACTTAGCTGTATTGCACGATTTCATAGTTGTGCATTTTTAAAACAAATTGTTGCCTTTTTTTGTAGCTCATATTTTCTTTGATTTCTTTGTCTTGCAGAGGGTAAAAATTCAGCACAAATTAATGTATATGTATGTGGGGGGAAGGACTGTTTTCTGCCTACTTTGATGGAGTCAGGTGAGGATGGATGTTACATGGTGGTTTGAAAGCAGGCACCCATGTTTTCCAACAAGTCTTTCTGCTACACAGAAGGAGGATTTAATTGTATCCTCCCTGGATGGGGCTGCATCCAGGGCTAAGTGTTGCTGAATATTGTGAGCATCTGAAGAGGAAAGGGCAGAAAAGCGTATTCTAAAAATCAGCAGGTTACACACACATACACACGAGAGAGAGAGAGAGAGAGAGAGAGAGAGAGAGAGAGAGAGAGAGAGAGAGAGAGAGAGAGAGAGAGAGAGAGAGAGAGAGAGAGAGACCAAGATGGAGTTTGGCAATCCAGAGCACCCTAAGAGCCATGACAGGCTGAGGAATTCTGGGAATTGAAGTCACTAGGTCTTAAAGTTGCCAAGGTTGGACACTCCTGGCCTAGAGCAATGGGTCGCTTTAGCCAACAACTCAAGAGTTCCACGTTTAGGTCAAGATTCTACCCTGCTTTTGCTTGGCAACTGGGATGATCTTGTGCCATCCCCTTCCTATGTTTCATGCTGAGATTGTCTTGCATCTGTTACAGATTTTGAGCCATAATCAGCAGGAAGCAAGCTTGTGCAACCCATAGCGGACAGTCCTGACTCTCATTTTATCCTTTCAGCCACCTGTCACATTGAAAAATGCAGAGTTAGAACAGCTTTAACCAATCCAGCTGTGCCATCTTTGCCTTCTAGTGTGTATTGCTTGAGATAGTATAAGCCTTGTAACATTTTTTTTTTAATGGAAGCTTGCCTGCCATTAGTGAAAAATAAAAAAAAATGGATGGTAAGTCTATCTTATTTTCCTATAGGACAGAAAGAAATCTGCATATGCTTAGAGGTACTGAGCCAGAGGAGCTGAAATTTAGATAAATAGCCAGTACTGAAAGAATAAACATTCTTTATAATAGCTTGCAGGTATGCCTACTATGGCATCTGTCCAACAGGTGGGTTGGTTTTGAGCGGTAAATTCCTTTCTATTTGGTGAGGTTCTCTTTTCTTTTTAAAGGAAGTGGGAAGAACTCTTCATGACTTCCATCCTCATGTTAACATAAAAAAAACCCCAACATTAAAAGATTGTGGTTTATAACCTCTGTTGCCTCAGTGCTTCTATACCTTGGTGACATAAAGAGGTGTCAGAGAGCTCTCCTGCCTCTCTCTAACTTTGAAGTTTCTGCCATCAGACAGGCACCACAATCCTTTGCTTTTAGATGTAATGTGGCCGCTAACCCAATGCTCATTGTACTCTTGATGGTCTAACTCAGTGTTTCTCAACCTTGACAATTTTAAGGCATGTGGACTTCAACTCCCAGAATTCCACAGCCAGCATTGCTGGCTGTGGAATTCTGGGAGTTGAAGTCCACATGCCTTAAAATTGTCAAGGTTGAGAAACACTGGTCTAACTGCCATCAGATCACCAGCACAGAAGTCTGGGCTTCCTTGTAACTCAATCCCCAGCTCCAAGAACAGCTGTTACTATCTCTTATCAGCTTGTTACATATCATCAGAAGGCCTGGGGAACCCACATTGCCTTTGTGCTCGTAGGGAAAGAAGAATTTCATTGGGGATATTCTCCGCAACAGAACTATAGGCATCTGTGCTAGAGAGCAAATGGCGAAATATCTTGTAATACAAACTCCACCCATTAAGTACTAGTGTGCAATGCTGCAACACAAATAGGAAAGAAGTAGTGTGATATCACAATGTCATTTTGGCACCCTATTTAGAAATGGGCACCCATGAACAATACTCATCTTTCAGTTTGTCAGAATGGCACCCAGAATACAGTTTTATTTTAATCACTCCAAAATTTTGTGATGGATTCCTCTGAACCTAAGCTTTCATATAATAACAAGAGAAAGTTTATAATCCTCATTGTTGGTTGGGTAACACCACTCCATAAATTGTGGAGAACCCTCCATGAATATAGGGGTTTAACTGTAGTTGAAAAGAAGAAAGTGTGGATAAATGATATGGCAAAACCAGGGAATAGTAGAACAGAAGACAAAGAATTGGAGAAGATCATAAAGTATCAAGGTCTGAAAATTGAAGTCGAAAGATTACAGCAGTAATAGTCCCATGGTTAGCAGCAAACTGGATACCTTTGAAAATATCTTGGACAATACTTAGTATATCT